GGCACGGTACATCAAGATCGATACACTCAACTATGCACCTTGGCACGTTCCTTGGCGCGTTCCGTGGCGAGTCCACCTGGCACTTCGCGCGGCGCGTCCCCTGGCACGTCCATCGGCACGTCCATTGGCACGTTCCGTAGCGCGTCTCCTTGGCACGTCCCGCGGTGCGTCCCCATGGCACGTCCCCTGGCACATCGCCTGGCGCGTCCCTTCGGACGTTCCGCGGCGCGTCCTCCTGGCATGTTCCCTCTGTCGATTAGTTATGGGGCAGCTACCATCTGCTCAGGCAGCTCGAGCTTACGCTCCAGATCAGTTCGGTGAGGACTCGGATGCCAGGGAGGACTCGATCCACGACGCTATATAGAGCACAATCGCGGCATGGCACATCGCAGTTCAGCACGGCGTAGCACAGCACAGCCCTCGGCACAGTACATCATCATCGATACACTCAGCATTGCATGTGCCCGTCGCCCAATCAGGTGTCTTTGATATGTTACAATGCCTTACATTTCTATATTCCTTTCCGGGTTCGTGGGTCGATCATGTTTCGTCCAAAATCCGCCTGTAGGGGGACAGGCCCGACCTATGGTTGCCCATCTTCGCCGATCCGATTCCTTTCGATCGCCGATCCACCCTGTCGATGCAATTCTGGGCTCGCCTGCCGAGCGCTGTCCGCGATGCATGGGCGCCTCCGGCGCTGGGAGGTGCCCGAGAACGCAGCTTATATTAAGATATATATATATATATAGATATGTGTGTATCCCGCCAAGAATCGTATCATAACAAACACAAACATAAATGTTTGGCGCTCCACGCGGATTTCTTGGATCTGCGCCTGGGCCCCCCAGCGGCGCCTCTGGCGCCGCCCCTGGCGCGCTCCGCGTGCCAGGGAGGGGGGTCCAGCGCGAATCCAAGAAATCCGCGCGAAGCGCCAAATGTTTATGTTTATGAGTGTGTGTGTGTGTGTGTTCTTCCTTGTTCTTATAATAAAGTAAAAAAATACGCCAGTGCGACCCTACCTAGAAGTTGGAGCCCGTAGGAAAGCAGCATTAGTTGCTATGCTATGCCATACCATGCTATGCTATGCTGCGCTGTGCTATGCTATGCTATGATATGGCATGCTGCGCTGTGCTATGCTAAGCTATGCTATGCTATGCTAAGCTGCGCTATGCTATGCTATGCTATGCTATGCTATGCTGCGCTATGCTATGCTATGCTATGCTTGGCTATGTTATGCTATGCTATGCGATGCTAATGCAGCGCTGCGCTATGCTAAGCTAAGCTAAGCTGAGAGCCGCGTAAGCTAACCCTCTAGGCAGAGCCTAGGTAGGGAATTTTCACCCATGCTAATGCTTTGCCTTGCTTTGCGGTGCTGGTACTTTGCTTTGCTGTCGCTGTTGTTGTGTTGCCTTTGCTTTGTTGCTATGCTCTGCTATGCTATGCTATGCTGCGCTGTGCTGTGCTGTGCTGCGCTATGCTATGCTATGCTATGCTGCGCTATGCTATGCTGGGCTATGATATTATATGATATGCTGCGCTCTGCTACGCTATGCAATGCTATGCTGTGCTCTGCTATGTTAAAGCTCAGCGAAGCTAAGATGAAGCTAAGCTAAGCTAAGATGAAATAAGCTAAACTAAAATGAGATAAGCAACGCTAAGCTAAGGGGACGTATCTGGGGGAACCGCGGGGCGGATACTGGGGGAACCGCCCGGGGCGAGCCCAGTGCCCGGCCCCATTCAGAAAGAGAGTAAGAACCCTCTAGGCAGAGCCTAGGTAGGGAATGAATAGAAACAAACAAAAACGCGGAAAAAAGGAACAACTACCAAAAAGCAAACAACAACAAAACCAAGGCGTTCGAAGACCACCCGCACCCCTGTCGTCCGACCCGGTGCGTGCTCCACACGCCGCCGCAGGACCTCGTGGAGCTCCGGGCGCTGTGGGCGCGCATGGAGGCGCTGCACGACCAGGGCCGCGCCCGGGCGCTCGGCATCTCCAACGTCGACGCGAGGGAGCTCGGCCGCGCGCCGAGGGTCAGAGGAGGAAGAGGTACCCCTCTGCTCCTCCTCCTCCCCCGCCTCCTCCTCCTCCTCCTCCTCCTCGTCCTCCTCCTCCTCCTCCTCCTCCTCCTCCTCCTCCTCCTCCTCATGTCAACGTCGCTGTCGCCGCCGCGGTCGAGGTCGTCGCCGATGTACCGCTGCTGCCCAGAGGAGGAAAAGGTACCCCTATCTCTACTCTTCGGGGCCGTTTCCGCCTTTTGTGGGTCTCCTGGGAGGCCTTCGTCGCCACCGCTGGATTCGCCTCAAAAGTTTTGGCCAGAGTGCACCCCAGGAGGAGTCCAGGGAGCAGAGGTATCGGGTACCCTGGGGGGAGGTTTCCCAGAAGCAGCCCTGCTTTTTAGAAACGGCGCGCAGAGTCTGTGAATGTAAGACCCGCGCCTTGTAAAAAGCAGTCTCCTTCTAAGAAGCCTTCCCCCTCCCCATACCCCGTTGCGCGCGCCGCCTAGGAGCTACGGGAACTACTTTCCTTCGCGAGGATCCCGCCTGCGTACGTCCAGAATATGTTCAAGGCAGCGGTCGACCAAAACGTTGTCTTGGCGGTCTCGTGTGCCGTTGTCGTTTTCTCGTCGTTTTGTTGTGTCTTCATTCTACTTGGCCAACCACGACTCCAGACTTGCACCAAACGCTGCTTGGGGCTATCGGCCAGACCGTGTCTGTTCTCAAGCGCTCAAAACGAGAACGACACGAACCCTCAGAACGCAAAATCCTATGTCGGTCGATCCCTGGCTCAAGGTGTACAAGCCCGGAGAGCAGATGCTCTCCGACGACGACGTCATCGGCCTCGCGCACGCGAACCAGATAGCCGTCATGGGCTATTCTGTGCAGACCGATTGGCCCCACATTATGCCTCCGCTTGAGGACCCGCCGAGGGCCTCCCAGGGGCCTCCCAGGGGCCTCCCAGGGGCCTCCCAGGGGCCTCCCAGGGGCCTCCGAGGGCCGCCGAAGGCTTCCGAGGACCTCCGAAGGCCTCCGAGGGCTGCTGAGGGCCGCCGAGGGCCGCCCGGGGCTTCCGTTTGGGAGGACCCGCACGTGCTGCAGGTCGCGGCGGAGGTGGGCCGCAGTCCGTCGCAGGTGCTGCACCGCTGGGCGTTGCAGCGCGGCGTCGGCGTGATCCCCAAGAGCGCGCAGAGGCTTCGGGCGACGAGATCTGTATGCACCCAGACATCCAGCGCCACCTCCGGAGGAAAAGATGCCGATGCTCCTGCTCGTCCTGGAGAGCCCTCGTTGCCACGGCCGGGTTCTCCTCGAAGTTCTGGTCAGGATACATCGGGTTGCCCAAAAGGGGTCCAGCGACAAGGGGGTGGTGCAATAGATTTGAGGTGCAATATATTTATTTGTGGGGTTGAAATACATATGGGGCGTGCAATGCACTCCGGGGCGCAAATGGATTGCTGGTTTTTCTTTCGCGAAATACATAACTTGTAATACAATACCATAGAAGTCTCTGGCGCAGTACATTTGCAATGCAATTGCCCCAAATCTATTGCGCCACCCCCTTTCAGCTGGACCCCCTTTTGGATCACCCAAAGGCTGGGTTCTCCTCGAAGTTCTGGTCAGGATGCAGTTCGGGACATGTCCGGGGAGTGGCGGTATCGGTACCTGTTTGCTACCCGCGCCCTTCAAGCAAAAGTTGATTGTCAAGCAGTTTTTGATTTCGGGGGCCATCGCCAAGTTCCAGGACCGTCAAGAAGGGCCCAGAATAGAACACTGTCCCCGCGGGAAATGGATAAATTCTTCCAGTGAGCCGCATTGAACAAAACAAGGCATCCATCTGATGTAGGACAGCATCATTTTCCGCCGCCCTTGGCCAGGCCCATCGTTTGCCCAGGATCGGTGTAGATGTTGAGTCCAGCCCAATAGATGGGACGGCGCATATCTGGACAAATGCCCACAACGGTCGTCAATTCGGCCCTGACACTTCAGACGTCAACTCGGCCCCAAGACTACGTTTGCTCAGGCGAAAGCAATCGTCAATTCGGCTCCACCGCCTCTCTGGCCAAGCCATGGGGGCGTACACCGCTCCTGGGCCCAGGATGGGCCTGGCCAGGGGCGGTGGAGATGTGCAGATCTTGACGACCTGAGAGGGCGCGCATCGAGGAAAACGCCCGGCTGCTGGACTTCTCGCTCGGGGAGGCCCACATTCCCAGGCCTCCGACGACACGATGTTCGAGTCTCGGCGCGGTTCCCCGATTTCGGCCTCGGGGGGCGCTCTCGGCCCCGGGGCCTGCAAACAGTGCTCCAGGACGACAGATCGCGCGCGGGAGCGTGGTCGCGATCTGTTTGGGGCCGCGGACTCAAAATTCGCATCGTCGGGAGTCTGAGTTCGGGGGTCGTCGCGGGTGGCCCGCGTGTGAGCCCCGTGCGGTTCCCGTGTGGACCTCGCGGGCTCGAGTAGGGGATCGACTACAGAATTGATTGACCCTAATATTGGTTTCCTAGTCGAAGTCCATTTGATATACTTCGAATATCCCGTACATCTGCGAACCGTACATTGCGTGTGTGTGTGTTGTGTGTGTGAGTGTGTGATATAATTCGACGAACAAATAATTTTTGGGGTAAGTAAAATCTGTAGTCGACCCCCTACTCGACGAATGGGCGCACTGAAGGCCACTGGTGGCCCCCTCGAGACCCGACGTCCGACTGAAGCCCCAGGCCCCTACATCTGTCTGCGGCTCTCTTGCCGGATCGACCGGCGAGGGTCTGGGGTTAAGTCGGGCCTGTCCCTTCACAGGAGGAAGATTCAAAAATACAAAAAAAAATCTGGGGACGATTGTTTGAGCATTTGTTTTTACTCTTTTGGGGTATTGTTTTAAATATTCTTATTTCTGTCGCCCAAAATCCGCCTGTAGGGGGACATGCCCGACCTAAGTCTGGGGCCCAGGGTGCGGCGAGCCCTTCGTCTCATTTGGGGGGCACCTCCGGCGACAACCCCCGACGCGTGCGCGCGCTGGACGGCCTCGCGACGCTCTCCGAGAGCGGCGCGCGGCCCCCCGGGCGGCCCGCCTGGCAGCCGGACGCCTTCGGGCTCTTCGGCGGCGGCGGGCCGTCTGGCGGCGCTGGCGCGGAGCCCGGGCTGCCGCCAGAGGCTTCCGGGGAAGCGGTAGGGGGAAGAGAGGCTCTCCGGGGGAGAAGGCTTCGGCGGGCTTCTTCTGTTTTAGGCTTTCGAGCGTTTTCGGCCGTGTTCGTTGGTTCTCGGCGGCTTCCCGACCTCGGGATGCGTTCCAGCGGCTGCGCCTCGCCGAGGGCGTTCCAGGGGTGCCCAGATCGCCCCGAACGGCTGCCAGAGAGCCCGTCGCCGATTCCAGGTCGGTGTCTCCCCGCCTGACGTAGTCTGCCCCCAACGGTCCTCCGCACGACTGCGCGCGAGAGTGGCCAATCGTTGGAGTGACCCTCAGACCTTGGCGGCGTCAGCAAGATTGCGATGGCCAGTGTTCCTCACGGCTCGGCCTCGGGAGGCCGCTTGTGGCCGTGAAGAGTCGACTCGGGATGGTGGTCAAACCGCGGGGAGGTGTTCGAAGGAAGCCTTAGGGGCCGATGTCACGGAGTCAGCTGCACTGTCGGAGGAGAGGGGGCCTTTGGTGCGGGCTCACGGGGCTTCTCCCCGCTCTGGCTTGCGCGCTTGGTTATCCCCCCCCCCCCCCCCAGCCCCCCCCACCCCCGACCCCCCCCAGAGCCGAAGACCCTATATAAGAGCCGGCTCCTCACCTTCCTCCTCATCTCTCTCCTCCCTCTGCCTGCTCCTCCTCCTCCTCTCTCCTCCTCCTCCTCTCCTCCTCCTCCTCCTCCTCCTCCTCCTCCTCTCAGAGGTCATTTGTTGCATTGGGTCGCTCTTGCGTGTAGCCGACGAGAGGCGGCGGCCGCGGCGCGCGACCGCGGCTTCCCGTTCGTGGCCATCCGCAGAGGTCTGGCGGCTCGAAGGACATTCGAGACAGCCCCTGGAGGCTTTCCAACCTTGGGATAATTTCTTCGGCGGCGAGCGAGGGGGGGGGGAAGTGAAAAGGGGAAGGCCTTCTCAGAAGGCGGCGGGACTTTTCAGACGCCCTCACGCCTTCTGAGAAGTTGGTTCTGTCTTCGGGGAAGGCTCAGAAAACTCCTCAGAAGGCCGGGGGACTTCCGAGCCTTCTGAGAAGGCCTTCTCCTTCTCACTACCCCCCTTCGCTCGCCGCCGATTTCTGGCAGCTGCGCCTCGCCGACGGCGCTTCCAGGGTGCCCGATGCGTCCCGAGCGGCTGCTGGAGACCCGAGCTCAGGACCCGAAGGCCAGGCACCCTCGCGCCGGGGAACAAAAAAAACGCGGCACGCGGTCTCGCCGAGGCCCCGCGGCCGTCAGCCAGAACACTCGGCTGCAGAACAGAGGGGTCGAGTCGAGAGGTCCAGGAAGCCCCTGTCTCGATGAAAGCGCGCCGCCGGACCTCTGGGTCCCCCCCCCGCCGGGGATTGATCCGTGCGGCAAGTCCGCGGCGCACGTGACGGGGGGCAGCGCCAGCGGGGGTCAGCCCGTCCCTTCCGGTGCTCTCTGGCTGACCCGCGCTGGGGAGGCACGTGAAGCCGACGCCGCCACCCCTCCCTCCGCTGATCGAGAAGAGGATCGACTACAGAATTGATTTACCCCAACAGTGATGCCCTCGTCGAGTAACTCGTAGAATATTCGCATATCCAAGAGTTATACGACTTTCTCATGCATTCGGCGAGCAAATCAAGTTTGGGATAAATCAGTTCTGTAGTCGATGCCCTGCTCGAGCTGAGGCGGGTTTGGGAGCCACTCTGCGGCTTGCCGGGGCTCACGGCCGTGTCCTGGGCTGACCCAGGTCGGCGTTGATCCAGGTCAGTGCGTCCCCGACGGCGCTGCACCAGGTCAGCGTTGACCAGGTCGGCGCTGCCCCAGGTCAGTGCGTCCCCGACGGTGCACGTCCTGGGCTGGCCCAGGTCGGCGTTGACCCAGGTCGGTACGCCCCCGACGGGTTCGCTGCCGCGTCGGCGCGGGCGTCCAGGTCCGAACGCCGCCGACGTCACGCTCGCAGCAAGAGGGTGGGGAGGAGCAGGAACAGGAGAAGAAGGAGGAGGAGGAGGCGGCGGCGGCAGAGGAGGGGGGGGAAGGGCAGGGGAAGGGGAGGGGGAGGGGAAGGGGAGGGGGAGGGGAAGGGGAGGGGGAGGGGGAGTGGCAGTAGGAGGAGGAGGAGGAGGAGGGGGAGGAGGAAGAGATGCGCTCTCGGAACGGCGCGATCGTTCCAGGTGAAACGCGACCTGAATCTGCCGTGTCCGTATCCACCGAGCTGGGGGCCTGCCCCCGAGGATCCCGCAGAGCGTTGGTCAGGGGCAACACTGGGGAGGGATGGGCTCAGGGGGGAAGCGCATCGATCAAGCGATCGCAAGCATTGATCAAGGGGGCGTGGATCAGCGACGGGTCCCGTTTCCATTGGAAATCGCAGATTTCGCCGCCCGCCGAGCGAGGCGGCACTTGCCGCATTTTGGGGAGGGCACTTCCCTCGATCCATGGATTTGGCGACCGCGCGCCAAATCCATGGGGGAGGGCACTTCCCTCGATCCATGGATTTGGCGACCGCGCGCCAAATCCATGGATCGCTAATCCATGTTTGCGCGTCCCCGACAATCGCCCCTTCATCGCCGATGGAGCCCCGATAGCCTGCCCTCCCATTCATCGCCGATGGGGCCAAAAGTTCTGGAGCAGGCAGACTCTAGATTCAGGGAATCACCTTTCAAGGCGGGAGGCTTTGTGCTATTGTCGGTTTCGGGGTGCCCTTACCGGGCCTCGGACTCAACAAAACGGCTCAGAACGAATCAGAAGCAGCAGCGTGCAATGGGGATTCCCCGCTGCAATGTCCCGGCGGAGAACCGCGGGTCACGCCTTGAGGCCGCGAGGAGGACATCCACCTCCACGCCCATATCTCTTTTGACGTCCACCACCTCATCCTCCACCGTCCTCCGAAACAACCACCTGCTCGTGCACCTTCTCAAGCAGCACCACCCTGGCATCCCCCTCCCCATCGTCCTCCTCCTCCTTGCCTGGTTGCGGTTGCGGTTGCGCGCCCGCGGGCGGTTTGAAATGTGTCGCCCAGTTGCGGTTGCGGTTGCGCGCCCGCGGGCGGGTCGAAATGTGTCGCGTAGTTGCGGTTGCGGTTGGGCGCCCGCAGGCGGGTCGAAATCTGTCGCCCAGGTGCGGTTGCGCGCCCGCGGGCGGGTTGAAATGTGTCGCCCAGTTGCGGTTGCGGTTGCGCGCCCGCGGGCGGGTTGAAATGTATCGCCCGCTAGCGGTTGCGGTTGCGCGCCCGCGGACGGGTCGAAATGTGTCGCGTAATTCCCGTTGCGGTTGCGCGCCCGCGGGCGGTTCGAAATGTGTCGCCCAGTTGCGGTCGCGGTTGCGCGCCCGCGGGCGGGTCGAAATGTGTCGCCCAGTTGCGGCCGCGGTTGCGCGCCCGCGGGCGATTTGAAATGTGTCGCCCAGTTGCGGTTGCGGTTGCGCGCCCGCGGGCGGGTCAAAGTGTGGCGCCCAGTTGCGGTTGCGGTTGCGCGCCCGCGGGCGGGTTGAAATGTGTCGCCCAGTTGCGGTTGCGGTTGCGCGCCCGCGGGCGGTTTGAAATGTGTCGCCCAGGTGCGGTTGCAGTGGCACGCCCGCGGACGGGTCGAAATGTGTCGCGTAGTTGCGGCTGCGGTTGCCCGCGGGCGGGTTGAAATGTGTCGCCCAGTTGCGGTTGCGCGCTCGCGGAGCGGTTGAAATGTGTCGCCCACGTGGGGTATGCGGTGCGCGCCACGGGCGGGGTCGGCAATGTGTCGCCCCAGTTGCGGTTGCGTTGCGCCGCCCGATGGGCGGGTGAAAATCCTGCGCCACTGAGCGGTTTCCTTCCACACCGGGTTGCGCGCATGCGGGCGGGTTGAAATGTTGTCGGGTTTTCTTTCCTCTCTTCGCCCCCCCCACTCCCCCCAGGTGCGGTTGCGTTTGCGCGCTCGCGGAGGGTCGAAAAGTGTCGCGTAGGCCCCCGTTGCGGTCGCGCGCCCGCGGGCGGGTTGAAATGTGTCGCCCAGTTGCGGTTGCGCGCCCGCGGGCGGGTCGAAATGTGTCGCCCGGGTGCGGTTGCGGTTGCGCGCCCTCGGGCGGGTCGAAATGTGTCGCCCAGTTGCGGTTGCAGTTGCACGCCCGCGGGCGGGTCGAAATGTGGCGCCCAGTTGCGGTTGGGTTGCGCGCCCGCGGGCGGATTGAAATGTGTCGCCCAGTTGCGCTTGCGCGCCCGCGGGCGGGTTGAAATGTGAAATCTGTCGCCCACGTGCGGTTTGCGGTGGCGTTGCGCGCCCGCGGGCGGTTCAAAATGTATCGACCCACTAGCGGTTTGCGGTTGCGCGCCCGCGGGCGGGTCGAAATGTATCGCCCACTAGCGGTTGCGGTTGCGCGCCTGCGGGCGGGTTGAAATGTGTCGCCCAGGTGCGGTTGCGGTTGCGGTTGCGCGCGGGCGGGTCGAAACGTGTCGCCTAGGTGCGGTTGCGGTTGCGCGCCCGCGGACGGGTCGAATTGTGTCGCGAAGTCTGCGTGGGTTTTGCGCGCCCGCGGGCGGTTTGAAATGTGTCGCCCACGTGCGGTTGCGCGCCCGCGGGCGGGTCGAAATGTGTCGCCCAGTTGCGGTTGCGGTTGCGCGCCCGCGGGCCGATTGAAATGTGTCGCCCAGTTGCGGTTGCGCGCCCGCGGGCGGGTTGAAATCTGTCGCCCAGGTGCGGTTGCGGTTGCGCGCCCGCGGGCGGGTTGAAATCTGTCGCCCAGTTGCGGTTGCGGTTGCGCGCCCGCGGACGCGTCGAAATGTGTCGCCTAGTTGCGGTTGCGCGCCCGCGGGCGATTTGAAATGTGTTGTTCAAGGCGCCTTCTTGACGTGCAGTCACTAAATCAGTCAGTCAGTCACCGGCGGGCACGGAATTTAACCCGGCTCCGCCGGGCAAGACCGCTCCCGGAGAAGAGGTCTGGACCTCGGGGTGTCGACGTTGCGAAAATGATCCTCAGTTTACGGAGGCCTTGCCTTGATTGGGGATGTCGCAGGTCCGTGGCGAGTCGACACAACTGCGACCCCAGCGCGGGCGCTGCAGGTGGAAATCCGTCAGTGGGCCGGAAGCGACCGATGTCGACCAGTCTCCGCTGCTTATTGAAGCGCCGCGACCGCTCAGGGAGGCGCCAGCGCGCAATTCCTCACGACACGAGCCGCCGTACTATGGAAACCCGTGCCAAGAAACACCCTGCTCGCCTCCTGGGTGCCCTTGGTGTTTTTGGTTTTGATGGTTTCGCAATGGAGAGCGTGAGGTTCCCACACCAAACATCAATGGACGCTCTGGGGTCTTAGGGTTGGGTTTGTTGTGGAAGGTTTCTTGTGGTCGAGCTCCTTGTGTAAGGAACCCTTTTCGTTCGGGAGGGGTTCAGTGTTCCTTGATTGTGTTATAGTTTCTGAAGTGTTCCCCAGGCTGTCGATGGAACATCGATTTTTAAAATATTATCCCGGCAAAGCAACCTAACAGCGATGTGTAGAAGCATATCTGAAAGCATTCCCCTTAAGATTCAGATGAAAATCCAGTTGTAGAATTCTGCTGTTCTCGCAGTCGTAGTCGCATTCGCGATGACAGTCGCAGCGGCAACGGCAGTCGCATGTCACAGCCTCAGCCTCAGCCTGCCTCAGCCTCAGCCTCAGCCTGCTTCAGCCTCGGCCTCAGTCTGCCTTCAGCCGCGGCCTCAGCCTCAGCCTGCCTCAGCCTCAGCCTGCATCAGCCTCAGCCTCAGCCTCAGCCTGCCTCAGCATCAGCCTGCGTCAGCCTCAGCCTCAGCCTGCCTCAGCCTCAGCCTCAGTCTGCTTCAGCCTCAGCCTCAGTCTGCCTTCAGCCTCGGCCTCAGCCTCAGCCTGCCTCAGCCTCAGCCTGCCTCGGCCGCAGAATCAGCCTGCCTCAGCATTCAAAATGTGGCCCAGGAATGGAGTTCTGGGAACTAGAAGAACACGAAGTGGCCTACAGTTGGCTCCGGGCATTCAAAATCATGCCCAGGAATGGAGTTCTGGGAACTCGAAGAGCACGAAGTGGCCTACAGTTGGCTCCAGGCATCCAAAATGTGGCCCGGGAATGGAGTTCTGGGAACTCGAAGAGCACGAAGTGGCCTACAGTTGGCTCCGGGCATTCAAAATGTGGCCCGGGAATGGAGTTCTGGGGACTCGAAGAGCACGAAGTGGCCTACAGTTGGCTCCGGGCATTCAAAATGTGGCCCGGGAATGGAGTTCTGGGAAGTCGAAGACCACGAAGTGGCCTACAGTTGGCTCCGGGCATTCAAAATGTGGCCCGGGAATGGAGTTCTGGGAAGTCGAAGAGCACGAAGTGGCCTAAGTTGGCTCCGGGCATTCAGAATGTGGCCCGGGAATGGAGTTCTGGGAGGTCGAAGAGCACGAAGTGTGTGACTGTTGGCTTAAAACGACTTCTGCGGCACCCTGTCCGGCACCCGCCCAGACCCCCCTGTGGAGTCATCTGCTGCTCTCTTTTGACACCACTAGAAACCTATCAGAACAAGCTGTTAGGTAATGAAGACAGGGGGCCTCGTTCCTGATTTGGGGTTCATTATGACAGCGAATCGACTGTGTGGGCAACCGTGCGATGTCTTCAGTCATACAGAATGCCTGGATGTCTGGGGCCTCTTCCGACAGGCCCCCCTTTTTGGGGGACGTCGAACTGGCACGCACTCGGCTCGCACGCTACTCAATCCGCACTCCCTTGACTTGCGCATACACACACAAACACGCACACACACAAGCCACACACACACACACAAACCACACACACACGCACACACACGCACACACGCACACACACACACACACGCACACACACACACACACAGACACACGCACACACAAATGTAAGTCGGCCGCGCAGGGGAACCTCCGGCGCGGTCGGTGGGTCGAGCGCGCCGCGACGAAAGCATCCAGCCACGGCCATGCAGCTTGGTGATGGTGGTGGTAAACAGGAGGCACTGCAAAGCCAAAATCCGAGCACTCTCTTGGGTGGAGGGCAAAGGGTGAAATCTGAAAGGCCGCTTCGATTGATTTTCGATGCGTGAATCTGCAAAAGGTGAATCACAAGACAGATTGACTCTCGAGGTGCAGAAGCCCATATGGATTTCACCCTGAGCCCTCCACCCTGAGGCACTGCAAAGCCAACATGCAGCGGCCAAGCATCCCGCGGAGAGCGGGTCGATCACACACACACACACACACACACACGCACACACACACACACACACACACAGCGCGCGCCGCTGGAAGCATACGCTCCACAGCGCCCACCCGTTCAGCAGGCCCAGGGACAGATCACCGGCGAGGGCCCTCCGCGACCGGCTGCTGCGGGCCGCGGTGCCCCTGGGCCCCGGCGCCTGCCGCGAGCGCTGCCTGGCAGAGCCGGCGTGCTCCGCCTGGGAGGTGTGCGCGCCGTACGACCCGCAGGCCAGCCGCGGCCCGTCGCCGTCGCCGTCGGCGGCCCTCGGCGGCCCTCGGCGGCCTCTCGGCGGCCCTCGGCGGCCCTCGGCGGCCGGTCCTCGGAGGCCCTCGGCGAGCCTCTGGAGGCCCTCGGCGCCCTCTGGAGGCGCTCGGGGGGCCTCTGGGCGGCCTGCGAGGGCCTGCCTCTGCGGCCCTGAGAAGTCGTCGTCGTCGTCCTTGCCCTTGTCCTCGTCGTCGCTCACGTTATCGAGGCCGCCATCGGCGTCGTCGTCGTCCCCGTCCTCGTCCTCGTCGTCCTCGTCCTCGTCCTCGTCCTCGTCCTCGTCCTCGTTGTTGTCGTCGTTGTCGCTGTCGCTGTCGTCGTCGTCGTCATCATACAGTCAACCCGTATAGGAAGGATGCGCCTTAAGGATGCAAGAGCCTTGGACGCCCATTTCGAAGCTTTTCGAGCGGGGCGCGGCCGACGAAAGTGGCAGAGGATGGACCAGGGAGGCAAGGATGCAATGGTACCCGTGGGGAGGTTGCCCATCCTTACTATGCGGGTTGACTGTAGTCGTAGTCCTCGTTCTCGTTACCGTCCTCGTCCTCGTACTCGTCGTTGTGGTCGTCCTCGTCCTCCTCGTCGTCGTGGTCGCCGAGGGCCTCGAAGGGCTTCCAGACGTCTCCAGAGATAGCCAGAGACCGTCTTAGGCCTCCGAAGATTTCCGGAGACTTTCAGGGGCGGCCGTCGTCGTGGTCGTCGCCGTCGTCCTCGTCGTCGGCATCTTCGTAGTCTTCCTCGTCGGCGTCGTCGTCGTTGTCATCCTCGTCTTCGTCGTCATCACCGTCCTCGTCGTCGTCGTCATCGTCCTCATCCTCGTCGTTGTCGTCGTTGTCGTTGTCTTTGTCGTTGTCGTCCAGCGCCTGCCCCCCCCCCGCCCCGCGGGGCCCGACCATGTTACCGCTACCCCCTCACAAGGGGTCCGACCTTCCCCCGTGGTTAGAAAAATTGTGTGTGGGTGTGTGTGTGTGTGTCTGTGTGTCTGTGTGTGTCTGTGTCTGTGTATGCGTCCGTGTGTGTGTGTGTGCGTCTGTGTGTGTCTGTGTTTGTCTTTGTGTGTCTGTGTCTGTGTGTGTCTGTGTGTGCCTGTGTTTGTCTATGTGTGTGTGTGTGTTCCGACGTTGTCTGCATGTTCTTTCTCGCCACCCACGCCCACGTACGTGGCCGATGGGCGGTCGACCCATGGGGGTCCCGCGTCCTTGGGGCCCGGCCGCGCACGTTGGTTCCCTGCCGCGCTTGCTCGAGCTGCGCCGCCTCGCCGCTGCGCGCGAGGCCTCGACTTCAGGAGGGGAAACAACACACAGACACAACTATTCGTCGATTCCCAGGAAAACATGGGAAAATATGGGAAGTGGGGGAGAAGACGAAAACCCAGCAAAAAATATGAACATATGGGGGATCTTGCTATTTGTTTGTATTTGTTTGTGTCCCAGGAACCTTTAGACTGCCAACAGGGTATGTGGGTACGTGCGTGCGTGTGTGCGTGTGTTTCTGTGTGTGCCTGTGTGCGTGTGTGTGTGTGTGTGTGTCTGTGTCTGTGTCTGTGTCTGTGTCTGTGTCTGTGTCTGTGTCTGTGTCTGTGTCTGTGTCTGTGTCTGTGTCTGTGTGTGTGTGTCTGTGTGCGTCTTTGTGTGTCTGTGTGTGTGTGTCTGTGTGGGGGTGTGGGGGTGGGGGTCAAGTTAGCCAGCTCGAACGAGCCAGAGGGCTCCGTCCACTCCCACCCGCCCTCCCACAACATAAAAAGCAAGTGCGTCGCGTCCGACGCCTGCCGCTCCTCTTATATCGTGGGCGGCTAGACGTTCAGCGCGCGACACGAGCTGCGTCGTATTCCTGCCGCGTATTGAGCAACGTCGACGAGAAACAAGACCGCGCGCGATGTACGCTGCGCATCGCTCCGGCTTCTCATGTTGCATCGTCGGCGACAACATGTCCAGCGCGCGAAGCGCGCCGCGTCTCATTCTGGTCACGCGTGTTCTACCGCCGATCGTTCCGCTCTTGCCGCACATGGAGAAGGGGGAGGAGGAGGAGGAAGAAGAGCAAGGGAGGGAGAGAGGGAAGGAGGGAGAAACTAAGGGGAAGATGAGAATGCCTCTGGGAAATTCGCGGGGCGTCCTAGGAGCTTTCTGGTATGCGCCTGAGAGCCTCTTGGATTTATCTTCAGGGTTGGAACATTGTCAACACAAGTAGCTGCTAACCTCACAATCCGTCAAACACCAAGTAAAAATCAATAGTTGTGTTGCCCCGCAGGGCCACCTGGACGCTATTGTTCGACCTCTCAAGAGGTATCCTGAGGCACCTGCTTGAACCGCACTTGCTTGAGGCATTATGACTTACCGCCCGCCCAGCTCCGCAACCCGACGGGCCACAGCGTCGACGACAAGGAAGTCCATTTTGACAAGCAGGTGTCCCCGCGCGATGCGTGCCGCGTCCCATTCCCGCTGCGCGATTCGCAGCGCCGACAAGGAATAAGTAGGTGCTGCGCGATTGGCAAGAGAAACGCCGACGCTGCGGTGTTTTTTGACAGGTAGGACGGGGGGTCCCGCGTAGGGTTGGCCAGGCGTCCACGCGCGATGTGCGCCGCGCCCCATTTTTGCTACACGTGTCGCGGCGCCGGCGACAAGAAAGTCCATGCTGACGAGAACAACGTTGACTGTGTATTGTTTTTGGGATAGGTAGGACGCGGCCACCGGCTTAGGGCTACCCAAACGATGCTATTCCGTCTAATTCTTGTTACACGCTTCGCAACTCGACGACATGTTGGCGAGATAAACATTGCGTTCGTATGGTGGCGGGGACGCGGGGGTGTTTAATCATAGGAAGTAAAGATGGGGGTGTGGGTGTGTGGGTGTGGGTGTGGATGCGGATGCGGATGTGCGTGCGTCTGCGTGTGGATGTGTGTGTATGCGTGGGTGTGTGTGCGTGCATGTGTGTGCGTGTGTGCGTGTGTGTGTGGTGTGGTGTGGGGGGGGGGGGGGGGGGGGGGGGGGGCGTGTGTGTGTGTGTTGTGTGTTTGTGTGTGTGTTGTGTGTGTGTTGTGTTGTGTTGTGTGTGTGTGTTGTGTGTGTTGTGTGCGTTTGTGTGTGTTGGTGTGTTGTGTTGTGCTGTGTTGTGTTGTGTTGTGGTTGTGTTTTTGTTGTTGTGTTGTGTTGTTGTGTTGTGTTGTGTTGGGGTTGTTGGGTGTGGTGTTGGTGCGTTGTGGTGTGTGCGTGGCGTGTGCGCGTGGGGGGGCGCGGGGGGGGGGCGGGGGAGGGCGGGGTCGGTGTCGGGTGTGGTGGAAGGGTGGAGGTGAAGGGTGGAAGGGTGGAAAGGTGGAAGGGAGGGGGGGCGGGGGGCGGGGGGATGGAGGGGTGGAAAGGGTGGGGGGGTGAGGGGCGGGGGTTTGCGCGGGGGTGCGGGGGTGCGGGGGCGGGGAGCGGGGGGGGGGTGAGAAGACGGAGGGAGGGGGGGGCGGGGGGGGGAAGGGGGGGGGGGGGGGCGGGGTGCGGGGGGGGTGGGGGGGGGGGGGGGGGGGGGGGGGAGGGGGGGTCAAGGTTAGCCAACCCAACCAAGTCAGAGGGCTCGTCCACCCCCACCCACCCTCCCACAACATTTTTTTTTTTATAAAAAAAAAAAAATGCGTCGCGTCCGACGCCCGTCGCTCATCTGATATCGCGGGCGGCCAGACGTTCAGCGCGCGACATGAGCTGCGTCCTACTCTGCCGCGCATTGTGCAACGTCGACGAAAAACAAGCCCGCGCGCGATTTTCGCCGCGCCCCGCTCCGGTCTCTCACGTTGCATCGTCGGCGGCAACATGTCCAGCGCGCGAAGTGCACCGCGTCTGATTCCAGCCGCGGGCGCTGCACCGCCGATCGCTTCGCTCTTGCCGCGCGTGGAAGAGGGGGGGGAGGAGGAGGAGGAGGTAGAGGAGGAGGAAGAGGAGGAGGAGGAGGAGGAGGAGGCGGAGGAGGAGGAGGAGGAGGGGGAGAAGGAGGAGGAGGAGGAGGAGGGGGGGCAGAGAAGGAGGGAGGGAGAAACTGAGGAGGAAGAGGAGAATGCCTTTGGGGTATTCTCGGGGCGCCCCACTCCAGCTATGCGATTCGCAGCGCCGACGAAGAGAAAGCACATGTTCGCAAGAAACACGTGGACGCTGCGGTGTTTTTTGACAGGTGGGACGGGGGGTCCCGCGTAAGGTTGGCCAGGCGTCCGCGCGCGATGTGCGCCGCGCCCCAGTCGCGCCGCACTTCGCAGCGTCGACGAGAAGAAAGCCCATGTTGACGAGAGAAACGTTGACTTTGTATTGTTTTTTTGATGCGTAGGACGCGCCCACCCGCTTAGGGTTACCCAAGCGATGTTCATTCCGTCGGGTTCCTGGTGCATTTTTCGCAGCTCGACGACGTGCTGGCGAGAAAAAAGTTGAGCGCGCGCGCTATTGTTTGACAGGTCGGACGGCGGGGTTGCTATCGGCCAGCCTGGTGGGGACGTGGCGGCGCTGAATCATAAGAAGTAAGGATGGGGGGCGCGCGCGGGGGGCGGGGGGGAGAGGGGGGGGGCGTTTGCGGGGAAGGGAGGGGGGGGGGGTCAAGTTAGCCAGCTCGAACGAGCCAGAGGGTTCCATCCATTCCTACCCGCCCTCCCACAACATAAGATACAAGTGCGTCGCGCCCGACGCATGTCTTTCATCTTATACCGCGGGCGGCTAGGCGTTCAACGCGCGACGTTAGCTGCGTGCTGAACAACGTCGTCGAGAAACATGACCGCGCGCGACGTGCGCCGCGCCCCGCTCTGGCCTTTTCATGTTGCATCGTCGGCGCCAAAGGTCATTGTTGCCAAATGTTTCCCCTGCGTGGACGCGACAACGGGCGCGCCGGCGGCGAACCGCACTTGCTTGAGGTATTCTGATTCGCCGCCTGCCCAACTCTTCAACCCGACGGGCCGCAGCGTCGACGACAAGCAAGTCCACGTTGACGAGCAGGTGTCCCCGCGCGA